GAACAACTGAGGAGAGGTGGAACCCCAGCGCTGCCCCCGGTAATAGAACGATCCGCCATGTAAGCTAAGTTGAAAGGGCTCAAGCTCACGTTCATTGAATGCCAAATGTTGATCGCAATCGAAACAGGAGGCTGTTAGGGATCAAACTCGTGCTCCAGTAGAATGGACCTCTGTGGAGCAATGAATCTGGTGATTCTATGTCACTGTGGGTGGGAAACTGAAGCCACGTCCAGCCAGACTGGTTGTCTGGCATGAAAAAGGGCTTCAAAATGGCCTCCGCAACCCAAAATGGCCATCATGAGCACAGCGAAGGCGGGAGATTCAAATTGGCGAGGCACAAAGGCAGTTGCCAGAATGGAAAATGCCTGCCTCGATTCTTGCCAGCGACTGCGCCCGGGGCCTCCAGAGACTCCGACGGGGTGTCCGGGCTCCACATTTTGTTGAGCAATCTCGAGGGGGGGAGGCAGACAGCGGTGAGAGCGGCCGGTGCGGGGCGGCGAACCGAACCCCAACCGCGGCAAGACAACATGAAGGCGGTGAACCAACCTTCCCACAGTAAACAATGGCGCACCCCTGCCTCCAACAAGAACGTTCCTTGGCCCCGAAGGCTCCGGGAACGCCAAAACCCACTCGTCACTGTAACTGAGGAGAAAGGAACCCCTTGCAGAGATATTTACCCTGAGGGGAACTCAATCCAGCGAAGTGGAATCCAAGCTGAAATAATAATGATGAATTTGTGAAATAATAATGATGAATCTATCTAGTAACCTAGAGCGAATTATTTTGCGTCTCTTTAGGCTGGACTGAGTTAAAAAAACTGAACCAGTCCAGTCAGAGGAGGCGTGGCCAGCAATTTGCATAACTCAGTCTCAACGTTAATGGACAAAGTTAACCCATGCTTGAATTCCCCAAGCAGCGCACAGGAGAATGATCCAGTCTTGCGCCTGAGATCAAGGTCTCACAAATAAGGAACCTCACACGGTCTCACAAATAAGGAACCTCACACGGTCTCACA